GCTGGTCTATCTATAACCATCATAGGACCCATCTATCATAAATCTAAATATTAAAAATTGTAAATCAAAGCAGAAATATGGTAACATTTTCTGTGTTTTGATACCTTCATAACAATCCAGAAGGCCATGTTTGGATATTCTGATTCCTCGGCAGTCCCTATAATACAATACACACATACCCTTCTCATCCTGTTCCTGGAACGATCCCCTGGACCACTTCTCTGTCCTACAGTATACATCCATCAGGACTGAAAAGAATATGTAAGCCCTGTGAGGTGGCTTCAGGGAATTTGGCCTGGAAATATAGAATGGTTACTCAGAAGAGACATGAACTTCGTGTAGGGGGTATAGTCAGAATAAAGCCCTCAGCTCAGGGTCACTGTCCTTAGCCTGAGAGAGTTCTGGAAGAACAAATAAGTTAAATGACTTCCCTCTGTGTCTGTAGACAGCAATAGAGCTGGAATTGCATAGTGTTGTCTGAGTACATGGATAAAGAGTGTTCCCTCAGTCAGGGCAGGGCAGGCACAGGAGTGCTCTGTGACGGACTATTTGGGGTGAGAAGTCAAGGACTGTTGGGAGATGGTTCTAGAGTGTTGCTGAACATGATCAAAATACACTGTATAAAGTTCTGAAATAATATGATATTTTTTTAAAAACCTTGAAGGATAAGTCAGGGACAAGGCTGGAGGAGAATGTCATTGCCTAAAGCCCTGTCCACTCAAAGGCTAAATGGGATGCTGTCCATTGGGGATGAAGAGTCATGTGTGTAGAGTAGGCAAAAGGAATGATGTTGCTGGTGTAGCTGAGTGCACAGCTGACCAGAAAGAGACCACATACTACATCAGGTACCAGAACCGGGGGAAAATTAGAAAGTGTTAATAGCCTAGAGGTTCCTTTCCTGCAGGTCAGGGGATGTGCTGGGCATCCATAGAAAGCATACAGAAGGAGGCAGGATTCTGGATTTCACAATTTCAATTAAAGATTAATAATGCATTCTGGTAGAGAGAGAATGAAAGTATTACAGAGTCTTGGAAGCCAGCTGAGATTAGCGATGGGCAGAAGAACCACAGAAAACAAAACACATAAACTGGCTGGAGGATGGCAGTGCACCCCTTTAATCCCAGCACTCAGGAGGCAGAGACAAGTGGGTCTCTGTGAATTCAAGGCCAGCCTGATCTACAGACTGAATTCCAAGACAGGCTCCAAAGCTACAGAGAAACCCTGTCTTGAAAATCCAAACAAACAAACACATAAACTGAAGTTTTGGGAAAAACAGCCTGATCTGTCCAGGTCATCATTGCCATGGTAAGGTTAAGGTTGAGGAGGAGGTTTCAGTTGTCAGAAGCTACCTTAGTCACGACAGGCAGAGAGACCCGAGATTTGGCAATCAGAAGTTAGGGCCATATAGGCAGAAAATAGACTTTATCATGCAAGGGTGTCTGGGGAAGAAAATGGAATTTGCTGATGATGTGTGAGGAGGTATATAGGCTTCTCTCTCTCTCTCTCTCTCTCTCTCTCTCTCTCTCTCTCTCTCTCTCTCTCTCTCTCTCTCTCTCTCTCTCTCTCTGTGTGTGTGTGTGTGTGTGTGTGTGTGTGTGTGTGTGTGTAATCTTTGAAAGGTTTGCAAGGAAAATAAAGATACAAAAACTTAGGAGCCCGAACTTGCCTCTGTGCCTCCATTGTAGAAGTAAAGAAGAGGCCCACTGCTATCCACCTTAGACCAGCTGTAAGCTTTTCTCCTTCTCCCAGCCAGAAGCTGACTGCCAGGGCCTTTGGGACCTTTGTCCAATGCTTACCTAGACAACCTGTGTAGCTTCCTCTAACCCTCTGGCCTGCCTGTCCTCAGCCCTCTTCACTCTGCTATTTTTCTTGATAGTACTTATCACTGTCAGAATGTAGAAACTTGCGATTTTTCCCTAACAAAAGGTCAGTTGCAGTCCTTAGAATAGCATCCAGCACACACTAGAGGTTTAACAGATATTTGTTGAGTAATATGCATGGAGGGGAGAAGGGATAATTGATGGACAGGATTCCAAAACAAAATTGACAGACTTTTTCTATAACAAGCCAGCTGGTCAGCATTCTCAGTTTTTCTGACCACCGTCTCTCTGTTCCATATTATTATTTGTTTTTGTAAAGAATCCTTAAAAATACAAAAACCATTCTCATCTCACAAGCTAAACATAAACAAGTTGTGGGGTGAAATTAGCTTGCTAACAGCTGGAGACCTTAAGGAAACAGGATTTAGTGATCTGAGAGGGGAAGGGGAAAGGTCTTCCTGCTGAGAATGTGAGTGAGAAAAGTGGAGTGTAAACATCAGTCAGGTAGAGTTCCGTGCCAGTGACTTCAGCCTTTTCTGGCAGGGGAAGTAAGGTCTGCTGGGTGTTAAAAGTGAGAACAGTTTCAAAGCACAGAGTAGATAAACAAATAGAGATAAGGAGAACCCTGGTAAGCACAGAAATAGTCACAGCAGACAATGACTTATAAACCAGCCACATGCTGTGAGGCAAGACACTGAAGACAGAAATGAGACTTAGAGTGCGTGTACCTAAGAGCTATGCTGCCTAACTTCTGGGTGCATACAGCTCAAAATAATAACTGCGTTCCCATCGTAATATTTTTATTAAATTGTTTTTAAACAAAAAAACATGGCATTGATTTGCGACTACTTATATCAACAGTATACATTTATTACAAACCCAAGCATTTTAACTCTCTCTTAATGGCTGAACCATAGTCATTGTCTCATTTAATCATGTAGCGTAGGTTCTAGCATGTTCTCTGATTTGTGGATAAGAGAACTGAAGCTTACAGAAGTTAAGAAACTTACTGAGAGACACGAAAAGCTCCTAAATGACAAAACCAGCTCAGCCAGGCACGTCTGCTGTTACCTCATCATGCTCTTCACTGACTACAAAGGGCAGTGGCTAATGAGTAGCTCTTCTGGTGACAATGCTGTCCTTGCCCCCTTCTTGTTCACCATTTCTGTGTTGCCTTAGATGAGGGCATTGATAGTATGCATCAGGGAGAATAGCAAACACATTGAGTAACAATGCAGAATTCTCTCCTACTGAAGTGATTCACCGAAGAAGAAATGGAGCAGACAAGAGTACAGCCCCTACTCAGGTCCAAACCCACTGACTTAGCTGTGGCCGTGTAGGGAGGAAAGCACTCAGGGGTTTTAGTCCTAAACTTTCAGATGACAATAAATCAGGGGAGCCAGGCCACTTTTTCTGAGGAACAATTTAAGAACCTCACAGAGCCTCCATGTGACAGGGCTAGGGTGAAAGTAAATATTTCTGAACATTTCCCTGTACAATAGAAAGCAAGTTAGACATGTTGCATGTGACCTTCATGGCCAGAATTAGGAATAAGAAGTAGACATTACAGGGAGCTGGAGTTTGGCCCAGAAACTGTTCCCTACAAAGATGCCTTGGAAATGTCCCATATCCTCTGTTGCTGGGCATGCTTTAGACTGAGAACCAGCTGGGATTTCTTAGATCTTAGTCTACACAGCCTCCCGGCACTGTTTTGTTTTGTTTTCCTCCTCACAGGTTAGAAGAACATAGCATTCCTATACTTTAAAATAAATAAATAAATATAAACTTGAATTTTTTTTCTAGAGTGCACTGATAAACTGATTTAGTGTACCGAAAGATACAGTGGTATAAATTACAAATACTCTGTTTAGAACCAAAGCTATATAAATTCCAATTTTTCACAGAATATAGCAAAGTGTTTGGTGTGCTAAAGTTAGGCTTTTAGTGTTTCTTTGCAAACAGTGTAGACTTTGTGTAAAATTTTTGCCAATGATTATATTATATGAATTTATAAAACAGCCCTATCAATATGTCTCCTAAGTCACTCACAGGATAGAATTATTAGTAACACTGATGAAATACTTGTAGTTTCTATAAAGTGATGTTTACAAGAAATGCCTTGAAAATCTCACTGATCCTTAGTGGACTGTATTCTAGTAGATGGGATGTAGTTGTTTAAGGGGAACATTATCAACTAACTTTAAGATCATTGCAATAGTTCTCAAATCTCATCCACGGCCAGCCTTTACAGCTTGTTCCAGTGCTTTATAAGTGTGTATATTCAGTTCTGATTGCTCTACCATCTCAATAGAAAATTTATTGGATGTCTCATCAGGTGAAGATTTCTTTTCATTTCTGGTCTTTTCAAAGGAAAGAGTCCAGCTCAGAGATAGAGAGTAGCAGAAGTTAATTTACAAAGCAATGTAAAGGGATAGTACAATCCAGAGAGATTGGAGCAGGCTGACCCAAATCTGTAAATGTGGGGGTGGGGGCAGGGCGGGCGAATAGACCATTGGGTGCTGCCTTGTCAATATGTTTTTATTGCTTTATAAATATTTATGAGGCCTGTGGTATGCTTATTCATGGGCATAAGGTAACCTTTTAGCCCTTGGGAACCATGACGAATCCTATCTCCTTTAGAGGGCATTTCTTCCCATTAAAAAGCCCACAAGGGAAAAGGTGCAAACTGTAATGCAAATGCTATTGTAATTAAAGCTTAAACCTGGGCTTTTGAGGATAGTAATTTGTCCCCTTTCTAGTCCAAGAGTCATGGATAGGAAAAGATAGTGCCTTACCTTCTAACTCAGCAGGAAGAACCCACCTGCAGTAAAAGATGTCATGCACAAAGCTGATTCTAACCATAACTGGACACACAGAGGACAACATGGGAAGTTTGTCAGCTCTCTCCTCCCTAACTCCCTGCCCAAAACGAAGGCACAGCTGTAGTTATCCACAGTCACCTCATGGCTAATGCCTTGCTTACTCAGTCTTGGATACATGTTTGAACATGTCTAGCTTACTTTTCTAAGAGTGTTAAAACAATTGTTATTGGTTACTATCACTGTCTTTCTGATATTTCAAAGTGGAAGAAGAAAGTAGAAACGTCTCCCTTGTCAGTTTTGACCCTGTAACTCCTGCATGAAGCAGAGGTATGTTACTGATACTCTTTTTACTTTTCAGGTGTAATCCCTTTCCATGGATTTTCCATGTATGGTAAGTTGGACTTGATATAGTCATTGCTTTTGTTATGCTTTGGGAATTGAACATAATGGTAATGCTTTATATCTCATCATTCATACAATCTTAAAGTGTTATGTACATTTTAAACATTAAATTCAGTATTTTTATATGTCTAATTAAGAAAATTGAAAATAAAGATCACAACTGTTCAGATAATGGTTTCTCAACAGATGAGAATTAAAACACACTGTGAAGGCTGCTGTGAGCATCGCTGTCTAGTCTAATGAAATAAGGACACATTAGTATTTAGCTCTATTATAGTAATAAAAGCAGCATGGGACTAGAATAAAACCAGACACACTGATTAATGATATCAAGATGAAGACATAGACTAAGTTCACATCCTGTGGATACCTGGTTTTTGACAGTGAAATAGAAAATACATGCTGGAGAAAATACAACATATTCTACAAGTGCTGATCATCAGACTGGATGGCTATATGTAGAAGAAGGAAAATAGATCCATACTCATCACCCTGTACAAAACTCAACTCCAAATGGATCAAAGACCTCATCATAAGACCAGATACCCTGAATCTGATAGCAGAGAAAGGGGAGAATAGGCTTGAACTCCTTGACACAGAAAGGACATTCTGACCAGGACACTGACAACCCAGCACTAAGACCAATAGTTAATAAATGGGACATTGTGAAGCTGAGAAGTTTCTGTATGGTAAAGAGCATCGTCTTTTGGGCAAAGAAGCAGCCTACGGAATGGGAAAAGATCCTTACCAGTTATACATCTGATAGATGGCTATTGTCTAAAATATATAAAGAACTAAAATAACTGAATATCAGGAAAACAAATAACCCAATTAAAAATGGGTTACAGAGCTAAACAGAGTGTTCTCAAAAGATGAAACAAAAATGCCTGAGAAACACTTAAATGTTCAGCATACTTAGCCATGAGGGAAATGCAAATCAAAACTCCTCTGAGATGTAATGTTCCCAGCCAGAATGGCCAAGATCAATAAAACAAGTGATAGCTCATGCTGGTGAGGATGTGGGGAAAGGGAAAACATTCATACAATGTTGGTGGGAGTGAAAACTGGTACAAGCACTATGGAAATTTAAGGGTGGTGATTCCTCAGGAATCTGGAATAGATCTGTCTCACAATTCAGCTATGCCACTCTTGGGTTTATACCCAAAGGACTGTCCTGCTGCAGAGAGACACTTCCTCATCCATGTTCATTGCTACTGTATTAATAGTAGCCAGAAATTGCAAACAGCCTATATGTCCTTTGATTGACAGATAACAAAAATATTGTATATTTATACAACAGGATATTATTCAGCTATTAAGAAAAATAAAATTAAGAAATTAGTAGGTAAAGGCTGAATGTAGAAGAATCATCTTGAATGAAATAACCTAGACACCAAAAGACAAATATTGTATATTTTCTCTTATATATGTATGCCACAATCCAAATAACCACAGAGATTCGCTAACTAGTAAGGGGCTAGGGTAGAGAGAATCTCCAATACAGTGTTATGGGGAGTCAAAGGGAAACTAGAATAGGAAGATTAAATAGAGAGGGGGATGGGAGAGAAGAGTAAAGGAAGGAATATGGGGAGGGGCAATTAATACTAAAAGCCATTTGAAAAACCATATGGATACCTGCTATTATAGAAGATTACTGAAATATACATACATATATATTTATACACATAAATATATTTATGTCAAATATTTATTTTTATATAATAAATTAATTTATAGTTAAAAAATTTAGTATATAAATCAATACACTTTAAATTATATAATATATACATACTTGCATGAAAGAAATATAAATGGAGTCACTAAATAATGGGGGAGATAGTGTACCAACTAGACATCTTGCATCACCAAGTAAACCCCTCAGTGCAAGAATGAGTTACATCTTGTTGCTTTATTGGCCAAAGGAACTCCATGGAAACCCCCAAACATAATAGGATATTGCTAAGGCTATTGGTTGCTCTCCACAGTCTGATGATGGTAAGGGCCTATTGCTGAAGTTAACAGTTAATTAAATCATCAAACGTAGAAATGTTGATCTGTGCCTAACTAGAGGCTTCATTAATGACTACCATTATTGTATTGGATAGTACCCTTCAGACTATCAGAGAAGAAAGGTAATCATCAATATCACCCAGCTACAAACCCTGTCATCTACAACAGTAACTTGCTTGAAGATACGGTGGTGCAATAGTGGCACAACTGTTTTGGGAGGAACCAACCACTTTTTTTCCCCTTTTGTAAAAACATATTATTTCCTTACATAATTTAACCTGATTATAGTTTCCCCTTCCCTCTTTTCCTCCAAGTTCCTCTTCACATCATCTCCTATCCAGATCAACTCCCTTTCTGTCTCTCACTAGAAAGCAGCATACATCTTAGAGATAATATTAAAATTTAACAAAATAAAATATAAATAAGATAAAACAACAGCTATCACATTAAAATTGGCAGGACAAACCATGAGAAGGAAAGTAACCCCAAAGAAGGTACAAGAATCAGAGACGCACTTGTTCTCACACTCAGGAATTGAATCCATAAAAACACTAAACTAGAAGCCATAATATATACACAGAGGACTTGGTGCATGCCCTGTGCATGCTACGTTAGTCTCTGTGAGTTGATATAAGCTTTGTTCATGCTGATTTAAACGTCCTTGTTTTCTTGGTGCTCCCCTCTGACTCTTACACTCTTTCCACCTCCTCTTCCCATAGTGAGAAACAACCACTTTTTGATTGGATTTAAGGCTCATTCCATGAGATGGAACCCTTACCTGATTCTTATTAAGTGGCCAAGAACCTGAGACTACATAGATCATAGGCCTAGAGGAAAACCTATTACCTTATTCTGATAAAGAAACATAGCAATAAAATAACTCCTAATGGTATACTCTATACTCCATAGATCAGCGCCTTGCACAGTCTTCATCAGAGAAGGTTCTCGAAGTAGATGGGAATTAACACAGGGATCCATAACTGGACAATGTGCAGAGAGTGAGAGACCTTGGAACACTCAGTCTTAAATAGAATTTCTTCATAAACCCCCTCACCTCAAAGCCCATGCATAAGATGAGGCAGAATGATTGTAGGAGGCAGAGGTGATGGATGATTCCAATAAGACTAATGCACATAAACTCAGAGACTGTGGCAATACACACAAGGCCTATGAGAAGGGAAAGTGGGTATGGGGTCCCAGCCCTAACCAATAAGCTATCTGCAATTGATACCTCCTGGCAAAGGGAAAATCACTTTCCTCCAATGAAATGTCACTATTAGCCACTTCACGGTAGGCCCCATGTCTAGGAGTAATTGGCCAATACCTAATAAATTCAGTAGTATTTTTATGGGCTTTTTCATTAAAAATATTTAACTCTAGTAGGTTCAAAATCAGGTTGCAAAAAAAAAAAATCAGGTTGCATAAATTTCTGGACTTGCCCTCATGAGTCTTCTAAAAACTATTATGTCAGAAAAAAATCAGAAGGAAGGGACACATGACTAGTGGCTCATGATTTCTCTAGACTCTTGGTATACATGCTGTTGGTTCTATTGGAGCAGTCATTCATCCTTAGGGAAATGCATGTACAGGCTTGAGAATTCTGAGACCTTTGGGGCCTTACAAGTCATTGAATGAGGAATAGTAAATGTTTAACAAAGATTAGCAAGAGGAAGAATACACCATTCTTCATGATGTCACTTAATTTGTAAGTGTTCATGAGTTACCTAAACTTAGGGAATCTACTTTATTCCCATAAAGTAGATAAAAAATATTTTAATATTTTACCCTTTTAACACAAACCAACAATATACCAATATCTTTCCTTTAAAAAGTACTTCCACTGGGTAGTGGTAGCACATGCCTTTAATCCCAACACTCGGAAGGCAGAGGTAGGAGAATCTCTAAATTCAAGGCCAGCCTGGTCTACAGAGTGAGTTCCAGGACAGCCAGGGCTGTTACACACACACACACACACGCACACACACACACACACGCACACACACACACACACACACACACACACACACACACACAAAGCCTTTCTCAAAAAACAAAAACACAAATAAACAGAAAACACCAAAGTTTAGTATATACAAGTGAATTAAAGTCTACTCAATGCCATGAAGGATTAAACATCTGGAAGATTTTAGTAGTCAGACTCTGCCCATTCATGTTCATGATCCCTTAAGTAGGCTAACACTGATAAATCTAAGGGAGCAATGTTTCATAAGGAAATAGATGATGTAAAATGTTTGATGAAGAGTTCACATATACTGCATTAGGAAACTGGAGGCATCCATGATATATTAGCAGCAGCCAGATAACAGCACCAGTGTTCCAGAACATCAAACCATCTCGAAGTAGTTAGCACTTTGCCAGTTCAGTTTCTTCATTTTACAAATTACAATATTTTATCTGTTTTTAAACTTCATTCAAAACTTACTAGTTTAAACTGTCTTGTGATCCTCATTTATATAGATTAATAGTCCTGTAAGTGTATAGCACATTATGATTTCATTGGTAAAGTTCCACCACACATTTATGTAGCTTTAAAAGTGAATGGATAAATTTATTTTTACAAAAAACCCAAGTAGGGAAATAAGCATGAAATCAAATTTTTGGGTCATGCTTGCTTTTTACATATCCCATGTAATGGATTGATACTTTGCTGTTTAGTTATTCTCTCAGGAAATTCAACAAAATATTTTGGTGCCTTGAATACTAACTACTTGTAGAAATTTTCATATTATTTATGTTTATGGAAATATATTTATTTTAAGTTCATTCTTCATTTCTGTATTAGAATGATTGTTAATAATCTCAGAACCCATAAAATCTTCAGTTGGAGCTTGCATATTTTATTATTAAAAGTAATTTTTGAGAGTTTCATACATGACATTTATGCCCCTCTCTCTCCCTCCAACCCCTCCCATACCACTCCTCCTCCTCTTTAGTCATTGTAAGTTGGAAATTCCAATTCTTCATTTTGAAGTTTTATTAATATGTATTTGTATCACATTGCTTTTTCTTAAGTTGAATTATGATTTTTAAGTATATGGAATGTTTTAATTTGGGCTATTTCAATAAGTAGCAATGTATTTTGGTAAGTTTCAAATGTTAGTTTTGAAATGAAAGGGCACACACCTCTCTGGTTTTCAACTGAATATCTATATAAAATGTGTACTGTATATGGCCTCTAGTCTTCACATGCTTGTACTTGCACACATCTATATATGCACACAAACATGCATACAAATTGTAATTACATCATTTCCTTACTCCACCTCCTTGTTTCAATCCCTCCCATGATCCTCCCATACACATCTTGCTCTTTCTCAAATTTGTGACCTGGTTTTTTTAATTGTTGTTGCATAAATACAGCTTGCTCAGTCTATATTACTTATATGTATATGATTTTAGGGCTGATCACTTGGGATTGGATAAACAATTGGGGGGCCTCTTCACTCAGGAAGACTATTTCTCACACAGACATTCTGTAGTTGCCTGCATTTCTTTGTCTAGGGTTGGGGCCTTCCATATTGTCATGTCTATTGGTGTCATCCTTGTTCAGATCATCTTTTAGGCAGTCATGGTGTTGAACCTTCATGGGTATGGCTTCCCCAAAATTTCTAGGAGACCCGATCTTATAAATGACTTCCTGATCTTTTGGCTCTTACAATCTTTCTATTCCCCTTTCTACAATTGTCCTTGAGCCATAGGTGCAGGAGTTGTATTGTAGATCAGTTGGGTTTCACTGTCACATGTTCTCTGTTTTTTAATTGACTGGAGTTTTTTTTATAATAATATCCATCTATTGCAAAGAGAAGTTTCTTTGGTGAGAGATGAGACTCATACCTATCTGTGGCTATAAGGACAAATATTTAGAATGTAGTTAGGGATTTTGCTCATTTAATAAAGTGTCAATTATAGCCTTTCCTCCAGCATCCATGATCTCACTGCTCTGACTAGTTTACTAGATTTCCAGTACCAGGCATGATTTTACTCTTGTTTTGTGGGCCTTAAATTCAGTTAGAGAGCTATTGGTTACTACTAGGATATGCATGCCACTTTTGCACTCTCAGCATTATTTTGCTGCACTGATTGTTGTAGTTCATGGGCATCATAGGTAAGTAGAACTGTTATTTGCTTCCCACCCTTGGAAGCTTATATGGCACCTTCCAATTTATTGAAATCTAAACCTCAGGGAAAAGGCTTTCAGGATAAATCCAGCTTGCATCATCTAAGACCTGAGTCTTAAGTGCATGGTATCTTCAGCAATAGGGACTTACCTTCAACCTCTGGGAGGTAACTAATGGCAACAGCAATAGCTACAATTTTGGGGAGTATCTTGATCTACCATCACCATCAACTGGAGAGAGAGCATCTCAGGCCTGGTGTTGGGGTTTCTGTTAGTCTTTGGCTCACTGTCAGCCCAAATGGGAAAATACCATTGAAATTATATATGTATACATATAAACTTATATGTATTGTATTAAATGTCAGGTAAATAGATAATAATATGATTCTTTTTCCAGCCATCCTTACTTTTATTTTACCCTCTTCATTTCCTCTCTTTCTGTGTTACCATCCTTTCCCCCTCTTTAAGTATCCCCTCTCACACACTTTTCCCATTTTCCCCTTTAAATCACTTGTGCCATGCTTTTTCCTTGTCTATTGCTCCTCCATCTCTCCTGATGCCTTTTTGCTTTCCTAGTTTCTGCAGTTACTTGAGATTATAGGATCACATCTGAATATTTAGAGTTAGGAGCCACACATGGGAGAGAACATACAACACTTGTTTTTCTGGTTCTGGTTTACCTTACTCAATATGATCTTTTCTAGTTCATCTGTTTACCTGTAAAGTAAACGATTTTGCTTTTCTTTACAGCTGAATAGTATTCCACAGTGTGCATTTGCCATATTCATTATCCATCATATGAAGGGCATTTAGTTTTCTCCCCATTTCCTAGCTATTGTGAACATCAGTGAGTACAGCTGAACCGCTATCTGTGAAGTAAAATGTCTAGTCCTTTGGGCATTTGTCAAGGAGTGGTATAGTTGTGTTATATGGTAGATTGAGTTTTGGCTTTTTGGGAGTTCTGCACATTGTTTTCTAGAGTGTTTGGACCCGTTTGTAATCTCACCAGCTTTTCTCAACATTCTCTCTTGCACTTTTTGTTAATTATTTTGTTGATCTTCACCATTCTGACTGGGATAAGGTAAACTTTTAAGATATTTCTTATTTTGAGAACTCTGTTTAGATTCCTAGCCCATTTTTTGAATGTCTTTTTGTTTTGTTTTTCGAGTCTTTGTTTTTTAGTTCTTTATATAGTCCGGATACTACTCTGTCAGATGTACTTTTGGCAAAGATTGTCTCCCTTTCTTTGGGTTACCACTTCACTTGATTGATTGTTCCTTTAGCAGTGCAAAAGCCTTTTATTTTTGTAAGTTTCCACTGGTGAATTGTTGGACTTTATTCCTGGGCAAATGAGGTCCTATTCAAAAAGTTCATTCAGATACCTTATACTAGTAAGAAAAATATTTGTGTTAAGAACTTTTGCTTAAGAGGAGAGAATGTCTTTATTCTGATTAATAATACTTGAATATATGTTAAATATTATCCTTAGCAATACTAAAAGCTTTGTCTCTAAGAAACTGATAAAGATGCCCCTTTGGTACTGCTTGTATAATAGAGTCCTTTGAAGGTCATGGCCACTGAAACAAAGCAAGATAAATAAATAAGGAAATAAATACTGGAAAGAAAATAAAACTTCCATTGTTATCATATATCATGATTATGTGTACAGAAAATCCAAAAAATAACCACATAATCTGTGGGATTAATAAATGAATTTAGTAAGGTTGCTGAATACACAGTCAATACAAAGATGAATTTTCTACCTAAGTGCTAACAGCAAAGGTGCAGAAAATTACATCTTTTGTAGAAGATCTGGGTTAGGGTGAAAAATATAGACTGTCAACTTTAAGATGTGCTATGGCGTGGGGTTCTGAACATCTCCAAGGGCACATGAACAAAAAGGTGGTGTGACAGATGAAAACACAGACACTGAAACAAGCCTATGTTGTAGCCTTGGTTAAATATCTCAGCTCTCTGAACTCTGGAATCCAGTTGCAGAGAGAGAGGAGGGATGAGCAAAGGGGTCAAGACCAGGCTGGTGGAACCCACATAAATAACTGACCTGAACCTAGGGGGAGCTCATGAACCCCAGACTGATTGCTGGGAAACCAGCATAGGACTGTTCCAGACCCCCTGAACGAGGATGTCAGTTTGAAGGTCTGGGCAATCTATGGGGCCTCTGATAGTGGATCAGTATTTATCTCTAGTATAGGAATGGACTTTGGGAGCCCACTCCACATAGTGGGATACTCTCTCGGCCTAGACACACAGGGGAGGGTCTAGGCCCTGCTCCAAATGAAATGACAGACTCTGAAGATCTCCCATGGAAGGAAGGCCTCACCCTCCCTGGGGAGCAGAATGGGAATGGGATAGGGGGTTGGTGGGGGCAGGGGAGGGAGAGGGAACTGGGATTGACATGTAAAACAAGCTTGTTCCTATTTAAAATAAAAAACTTTACTTAAAAAAATAAAAGACATAACAGAGTTTTACCATTTTAAAATCCCTGAAAGATGAAATAGTAAGAGTTGTTGGTATAGGAATGAACATACAAAAGATTGTTCCTTGTTTCATTTTTCTTTGTCATTGATAACTTTGAAACTGTTATTTGCAAGCATTAAATATATTAACATTTCTAAAAAAAATCTCAGCTCTCTTTTGCCTCAGTTTCTCCATCTGCAAATCTCAAATAACAATTATTCTAATGAATAAGTTGTTATGATGAATAAAAAAAAGCGTGAGGAAGCTGAGGGACAGAAGGGACTTTGGGTAAAGGCCAGCAAGGGCTATGACACGTGTCTCAAAAAAAAGAGTAAGAAATCGATGTTGCTTTTTTGCTACTTCATTGTTATGCATACATAGCTCTGTCACTTCATTCTCAGTTAAATGATAGGTTGGGATGCCAACCACTTATAACTTGTACATCTATAATGTTTAGCAGTTGTTTGAACTTTCACATGGGTATATTCCCTTTCGACATTAAAAAACAATGTTCATATGACAACAAACTTTGCTGTGGGTATGAACACTATACCTTCTTGTTTTGTTCTTTGTAGTTCAAGAACGTATCCTAAACATTTTAGTCACGCAGTATTACCATTTATTTTTTTCTTATAGTTGCACCACTGTGTTTTCTGTATCATGAACCGTACAAATTGTATCAGATATTCCGTGAGATGTACGTCCGCTTTTTCTTCAGACTCCACTCCATCTCCTCTCATCCTTCTGTAAGTTCATAAGTTGGAAAAACTCAAACGCTAAACTGTTCTTTCCTTAAAGAAAAAGTCTCCTGCTCAAATTACAAAGCAAGAAACTTTAATATATGGTTTCAAATAATGTTTCTAGAATCAACGAGAGAGAAGAAAGTTATGTTTAAATATTTTGCAGAGAGGAGAACATCTTGTATTAACTAGAGTTTTAGCTTTCTGTGAAGAAAACAAAAAACAAAAAACAAAAAACATGGGCTGTCTGGATTCTCATCCTTGACAAAGGTGCCTGCCTCCTTTGTTGATGTCCCCATCTGAGAAGGGAGGTTGGTGAGGTCATCTGTGCTGCTGTGGGAAGTTTACACAGCAAGCAGGTGAGGGCTGAGTAAGTGCTCTGCACAGAAATAGCTACTTTCTTCATTTTATTATTGCTAGAATTATCATTATTCATCTTTTCAAATGAAAGTTGAGCATTTATTTGTCTTGTGGCCAATTATCGGTTATTTTACTATGTATTTTCTTTGTATTTATTCAGCTCCTATATTGACAGCACTTTAGTCTTTTGTTCTATTTTTTTACTTCTTTATCCTACCTTTTTTTTTTGCCCATGATCCCTGGCAAGGCAGCATTTACTTTTCTGTCAGCTTTCCCCTCCGGTGGTCTTTGGTTTTCCTGTGGGTAGCCTGCATAGCTCTACTTGAGAACCTGTCCACTGGAAGGCAGGGCGGGCCGGCCAAACTGCTTAGTGAAGACTGTCCCTCCTACTAAATTGAACAGATAGTCTTTATTCTTCCATTTACAAATGTGTGTTCCTGCTCCACTTTCTTTGTCTTCAGTTGGCCCTTCCTGCATTGCCAGTAAAAGTTGGCAACTAAGAAAATTCTAGAATGTCACAGATAAGCTAACAAATCATCTGAGACTCTCTCGAGAGAACTGGGTTTAGTTATCTTCATTCCTTTTTAACCTAGAATAAACAGAAAGATGATATTAATAATTCTCCATTCTATTGTTATTGTCACAATCACATTCTCACAACACACAAATACACACAAACACACACATAGTCACGCTCACAGTATACACGCACATGCACACACACAAGCACACAGAAACATATGCACATACAGACTCCATACACATTTTATGCCTCAGAGTTTTGAAAAAACAGATATACCTGGACAATACCCAGTCACACCTTCCGGCTCCGTCCCTTTCCTTCTTTAACTGGGGAATTGACTGACACTCCTCATTTTCAGGCTTAGCTAGACTGAAAATTTAAAACCATGACATCTTAGAAACTCTAAATGAGGGTGAACCCCTTATCAAGAGCAACTTGAGGATCGCTGAATCCCAGAAAAACTTTTAATCATAGTTGCTAAGGAATAAACACACTTGAAAACAAAACAAAAAACTTGCTTAAATTGGTTACTTCTACTTTACAAATAATGTCCCTTTTAAAAAAAAAGTCAATTTATTAAACAAGCAAAACTTTTATTCTGAATAATCAGATATTTTTGTTTGATAGTGATTATTTTTATTTGATAACTTGGTGTGATTCAAAGAAGTGAGAAAAGCAGGCAATGTTTTCCCAAAGGGTGAGGCTGGAGGCAAACACGCACATGGGGAGAGACAGACAGAGATGGCAAAAAACACCAGGAAATGCCTGGAAACTGGAACACGTCCAGAGAAAACTAACTTTGCTAGACTTGAATGATGATATGTGGCTTACAAAGTGGCAGGTTTTCTGTAATGAATGTTTATGTTTGCCTTGGGTTGTCTAGCTATGGGGGTGGGGACTGTTGTATTTAAAGGGACTACTTAGTATGTCAACAAGTGCATATTCATGATGACATAAAATTTACCTTTAAATACAGTGTCTGAGATCCATTGGCCTGTTCTCTGTTTTAATTTACAAAAAAATATTAATATGCATTGTCCTTTTTAAATGACTTGTTGCCATAGTTCATGTTTTAAGACTCAACTATGTCTCTTTTGAATCATTGTTGGATCCAGGGTATTGTGTCACTCTGCTTGCTGTTTGAAACTCTTCTTCAAACATATCTTCCCCAACTCTTTTATCATCTGAGAGAAATCGGAGCTCAACCGTGAGTATTTTTATTGCCTTGCTGCATCTTCACAATGCTTCCCCATGGTGAAGCTGGAAACACAACACTCTTGCTCTTTTCCTACATCAACAGCCACAATATGTCTTCAAGGAAGTGAGGCAACAATTCTCCCTCCAGAGCACTAATCATTAAGCTCAGCTACATTGTGAAAGAAAAGGTTCTTAGTGGGGCCTGGGTTTGTGGCTCGGTTGGAAAACACTTGTCCGACATATTCGGGCCTCTGGGTTCAGGGGCCAGCATTGAAAACAAAATGTACTTGGAAGAATGACTAGTGTCCTATTAGAAGTTGTATTCACTGGGATTGATTTCTGTGTCCGGTGTAAGGATCACCAAATTAATCTTAACTTCAGTTCATAATGAAAACCTTTACAGAAACAGAGTGCCTTGGAAATGGGATATTACCAAAATTAAGTCAGTGTGGACTTGAGTTATCAGAGCACAACTCTGAAATGTGTAAGGTTAAAGTTTGCTGTTTTCACTAAAGGGAGGCAGCCCAAACACCTCCAGCAGTTGTCCTGTGTTTTCTCCTTACAGAAGTTTGCATTTGCTTCATTGAACTCAGTATGAGTAGTAGGTGGATATATGTGAGTGTGTGGATTAGCTCTGACCTGAAGTGGTCTGTCTTCTTTTAAATACTATTATCTAGATTAGAATTTTGCTCCTGTCTTCTCTAAACAACCCCACACACTGTTAAGGAAGGTCTATGTGAAGAAAGGACACTAACTCTTTGAAGCTGTATGACTTAACAGCAACCAAGTATGGTATGTGTCTTCTTCATACACATCTACAGCAAATGCCCAACTTAGTGGATATAAATGTAACCCAGCTGGAGATTCCATTTCTATTAAGTCATGTCATTCAGGTAAAGTTATTCATGCTTTAAATTCACATTTATATTTAAATCAAGATAACTCAATTTCTTTATCTCAAAATGAAGAGAATTCCCACCTTATGGAATTGTTTCCAGGTTAAGTGGGTTTAGACAAGTTACAGAGATGGAAGGGGCAGATGTGAACACTCTATCGACTTTCTCTGAAGCCCCATTGGATTTGAAAAAGATTTCAAGTGTTCTTTAAAACACAGTACTTCTTTTTTTGTTGTTTTTTGTTTTTTGTTTTTTATTTAAATTAGAAACAAGCTTCTTTTACATGTCAATCTCAGTTCCCTCTCCCTCCCCTCCTCCCCTGCCCCACACCCATCCTTCTATCCCAACCCCTTTCTGCTCCCCAGGGAGGGTGAGGCCTTCCTTGGGAGATCTTCAAAGTCTGTCATATCATTTGGAGCAGGGCCTAGACCCTCCCCATAACACAGTACTTCTTAATATCCTTCAATAATGCAGAATTGATACTCTTTCTTTTGTGGCCTCTTTTTTAAAAAGTATTCTGTTCTTAAATGAGTCTGTAAAACAGGAGTGTGGCAAAAATAATTTATATTGAGTGTAAAAGCCACTGGTCTGTCTACTGTTGTGAAACTAGAAGTTGGATATAACTAGGATTTTTTTTAAAAAATGGGCTGAAGATATTTAATTCATTGCTAGAAAATAAAATGCTGGTAGTTTTTTCTAATGTATTTATACATTTTAAGTCACCACGTTGGGTGCCAAATGTTATTCTTTTGTTTGAAAAGAGGAATGCTGAGACATGAGACATATTGACTATAAATTTATTATAAGGCCCGGCAGAGTAGGGAGACTAAGAAGAGGAGAAAAACAGGATAAATGGCTGACCACCATGGCCGGTCGCCGCAGAGAGAGCGCGTAGACAGAGAAGAGAAGAAACAGGGAGTAGGAAAGAAGAGAAGCAGGAGAAGAGAGTGAAAGCAGAGTTAGTTGGAGCTTTAAAGGGAAGACTGCGCATGCACAGAGGTTCCACGCATGCCCAGAGCAGATGGGTGATGTGGTGATGACGTAGCACATTTTCTTACGCATGCCCTGACTTGTCTGGGGGCAGGGTCTGTCTCTTAAAAAGGTAGAGCCAATCACCTTTCAACAAGAAGCATTTAAATTTTGGTGACTTAAAATTCTTCAATAGGAGGAAGTATAAAAAGCCCAGTAGACAGAAATTGAATTTTAAAAGGCTTTCATAAGTGAGAACTGCTCCTGTTGTGGTTTTGTTTTTTTACTTATTATTTAGTGTTCTGTCTCTGTCTGTCTGTCTGTCTGTCTGTCTGTCTGTCTGTCTCTCACACACACATACACATGCACACTCACGCACATGTGCACTCGTGCGCTCACACACACACACACACACACACACACACACACACACACGATGTGTGTGCAGATCAGAGGACAGTTTGCATCAGTCAGTTCTCTTGTTGGAGTTGGTCATGGGGATAGGACTCGGTTCATCAGGCTCAATAGGGCCTGCACTGCCTCCTTTTGTTTATTATTCTGCCTAGAGATTTATTAACTTTTCTCATCTTTGAAAGAATAACTTTTATGTTCTATTGAGTTTTCTCTGGTTTCAATTACACTCACTTCTGCTTTCCCTTTTTTTCCTTTATACCTGCTTTGGTTTTACTTTGCTCTTATTTAAGGTAAATTCTCTCCTTTTTTGACTCAAGGGTTAATGTTATAGATTTCTCTCAAAGTCCATTTTACTTCCACCCAGTAAAGTCTGATATGCTATCATCTCATTATCATTCAATTAAAAATGTTTAATTTCTTTTCTGACATCCTACTTGACCATCAATTATATTAAAAACTGTGATGCTTATGGAGAAACTGAGTTCATGCTTCCATTAGAAGCTTCACCCTTACTGACTGGCATTCATATTGCTAGAAGGTACCATATACAAATAATCATCAGTATTAGCCAGCTATGAACTCTGAGAGCTACAATAGCAACCTGCCTATAAGATATACCCACTGGTACAGTAATTGCACAAATGTTATAGGAGTAACTAACCCATTTTCTATTGGATTTAAGGCCTACTCCATGAAATGCAGAATATACCTGGAATTATTAACAAGTCCAAAAATCAGACACAGAACTAACTAACTGCTAACAAGTCCAAGAACTAGATAGGTAATGGTCCCTAGAAAAAACTTACCACTATTATTCTACTAAATGAATATAGCAATTAAGTGACTCCTAATGATATATATTTTCCATTTTTTATTAGAAAGAAAATTATTTTACATGTCAATCCCAGGTCCCTTTCCCTCCCCTCCTCCCTACCCCCACCCCTCAACAAACGCCCTACCTATCCCATACCCTTTCTGCTCCCCAGGGAGGGTGAGGCC